GTATGCTTGATTCTGGGAAAGCATTGAAAAAGATGAGGTCCTTGCCTTTGGGGAGTTCCCAGTGTGCTGAGGAAGCCAAACATGGAAAAAAAGTAATAGTAATTCCAGTAGATTATAGATAAATATCCACCAAGGTGAGCAGTTTCAGAGCTGCCCGAAACTTTCACATAGCCTTGGGCTTGGTAGTGCTCTTGGCTATGTAGAGTAGACATAAACTCTATAGAGTTAAAACTACGTCTTTCTCTATCTGAACCCCTATTCCTAGAGTTACAAAACCAGGTACCCTAGGGAGATTGTATCTTCAGTTGTTAGAGGCCCTGAAATGTCTCAATATTCTTTTCATTTCTTATCCTAGCGAAGAGCTTTGTGTTACATAGTCCTTGATTTCACTGAATAATATTTATTTGGCACATAGAGCTGTACCAGGTGCCAGAACATCACAGTGACTAAGAGACAGTCTCTGAACCCAGGTTGCTCACAGTCTGGAAGGACTGAACAGAAATCAGCAAGCAAATGGGCACTTAAATTGCAGGATAATAAGTGGTATCCTGAGCTCCACAGTGCAAAGAGAACATGCTGAAGACTCTCACTGCCCACTGTAGACTCAGTCCGCAAGAGGGAAGAGTAACCGCTCGGGCCTTTTGGAACCAAAGCTTCTGGGATGAGCCAGGTGTATTTCTAAGACAAGGCACTACATGGAGATACCTCTCTGCGCGGTGGGATAGAGGCATAAGAGCGTGGCGTGCACACCTCGGAAATAAACACAGAAGTGGAAAGGGGCAGGAAGTGGATAATGATCATCAAGGCCACCCCAATCCCTGTCTTCAGACAGGCCCTGAAAAGTACATGCAGGCCAGTGGAATAATCAGATTTTTAAAGGAGTGATAGCACTTGACAACAGCAAAGATAGAAATCAGGGATAACAAGCTAGAGCATAGCTATCCAAGTAAGATATAAGAGAGGCCCATCCTCCGGCACTGCGGCAGAAGAGACTGGCATGGGGTGGTGTAATGAGACGCTAGCTTGCTGCCAAGCTTGATTGACTGTGCATAGCTATCAGAAGGCGCACTGAGATGCAAGCCTGGATTCCGGTGTACTAGTGGGTGAGCAAGTAGGGGCGTCACTCAGCAAGACCCTGAATAGAAAGGGAAAAGGCCTGGGGACAGTGATTTCAGTTCTTTGCTTTTAGGGTGCCAAGGAGTGTGGAGGGTGATCTGGGAGTAGAGGCAAGAGGTACACGTTGGAGAATGATCAGCACAGAGGGAGCAAACGAGGCCCTGGGTAAGGAGACAGAGGAGCAATGGCAGCCAGACCCAAAAGGCGGTCTGAGGGAAGGCGCGTGCTACAGGGTCTGGATGACTTCAGAAGGCTTCACAAAGTGAGGCTGCTTTGTCTAAGGAGGCTGTCCTGGTGGGAGCTGAGTTAGAGTCATTAGAATTAGCATTTGTGGAACAAGTTCTGTCTGGACACAGGAGGACCGCAGCGAACCAAACAAGCGAAGTTTGTCTTCCCTGGAGCAGCTTATCAACACAGGTGGAGAATACCTTGTGCTTAATTATTTCCCCAAACACACACACAGAGTGAGCAGGACAGAAGAAAAGGAGGTGAGAGTACGATGCCTTGGTCTGTGGGCTCAGCTGGGCACCAGCAACTAGGGAAGGGATGGAAAGAGCGCTTCCAAGGAGAGGGTTGGAGGATGTGGAGATGCCTTATGGCCCGAGGGATCTAGCAAGCAGATGCTTGAAGTGAGCTGATAATAGAAAGGATTGTGTCTTCAGGAGCGTGTGACAACCATGCTGTCCACCTGCAGGCAGCTCCCTCAAGAGCCCAGGCGTGTGAATCCAGGGCTGCTCCAGCGGAGAGCATCCTCATGAGCAGCAGGACTGGGCTGGCCAAATAGCTCAGTGGAATAAAGGGCCTGCTTAGGCAGAGCACAGAGGCTGTGGTTCGACCCCCAGCTTGCCTTGCTGCACGCATGCCTGTATAATCCCAGCACCTGGGAGACTGAAAACAGGAGAATCTCTACAAGAGTCTAATCTGTGTAGTAAGACCCTGTACTAAATACATTTTTTTAAAAAATGAGCAGCAGGACTCTCCTTTGGGTGTTTCTGTCTCATCAGCTGTCCAGCCTCAGAGCCTATTGTAGGGCAGTTAGCAACAGAGAGGTGATTTTGTGCACAGCGAAGCCCGAGTTTCTTGAATTTGGAAAAGGGCTCTTTAAGCAGAAAAGAGAAACTAAAAGTGGTTGAGCAGCCAAGAAATCAATCTGTTTTGGTCAAAACAGCTCACCTGGGAGTGTAACATTTGCGTCCAGCAGCAGAGGCAGAACATGCCTCTCCGGAGTGCAGCAAGTCTAGGAAATAGCTCGAGAGTCAAAATCAGGCCTTGGCATAGATTGGCCCTGAGTGGGTCCTTTGTGAGTGCAGCAAAGTAATCGCGAAAATAGCCTTGGAAGAAAACTTGATTGATTTTTTTCAAAGAAAGCAAAAACTACGAAAATTTTATCTGGAGTCTATTAAAGCTATCCTAGACAGCTTCTAAGGGAGGCTAGGTCAGGATTCCATTGTGAAAACACATTGATTTCCCTGCATTCTTGATCTCTTTTTCCTGCCGTTCTTGTCAGATTGCTTTATTAAAGGAGAAATTGGCTTATCAAATGCTGATGTGTTGCTGTTTGTCCCTTATTGGTCCTGAGGGCATATGTATATCCCTTCTACTCTCCAAATACATGTTTTAAAATAATACACTGTCTTGCACAAGGTAATAATTTAAAGGTTAAACATAGGTTCTTCCAAGTTTGTGGCGAACAGAAAATTAAGAAATGCTAACGTTTTAATACCCAGCTTTAGGATTATTAACTATAAAATTTTTAAACTTCTATTTTCTCATCTGAAAAATGGGGGATAAATAAAACTACTTTGCTTACTGAACCATATGTTTTAGAAAGTGACTATGATAGAGCACCAAAGAATGTTCTAAAACTTTGATGTCATTCACCCATTAATACAATAAAGATTATTCAAATAAAAACTCAAAAAAATATAGATCTATGAATTTTTTATGTGCTCTTTCTTGTACACTCTTTTCTCTTAATTTACACACACACACACACACACACACACACACACGCAAGAATCACATCACAAATATGGAAAGTCTAACCTCTCCCATTTCCTGGAAAAGAAAAATTTTATTTTGTATTTGGTAAAGCATTTCAACTGTCAAATGAATTTAAAATCCTCCACCTAATTATATTGTATGCATGGCAATTTGTATTTCATTCAACGACAAGGTAAAGACATAAATTTTACATGAAGTTGAATGTTAGTCTACAAGGGGTTCTATAAGAAAATATCAAGGGCAAGGTGGCTTAACAACAGACATTTATTTCCCACAGTTATGGAATCTTTTACTTTGTTCAGCCTGCTATAACAAAACACAGTTGACTAGGTAATTTAGGAACAACCAGTATTTATTTCTTATAAGGCTACAAACCATAGAGTCCAAGGTAAGGCACCAGCAATCCAGTGTCTAGCATTGGCCTGTTCCTCATCGATGGCATCTTCTGTGACAGAAAGGGGCACACAACCCTCCTGGACCCTTTTGTAAGGGTAGTCATTCCACGCATGAAATCCTCAGGACCTAAGCACCACCAAAGGGCTGGATATTATTGCTCCAGAGTTCTACACACAAATTTGAGGGTGATCTAAATGTGAAAACCCTGAGAGAGAGGTTCACAGGTTCTGGCAGAGTTAGTTTCTAGTGAGGCCTCTCTTCCTGGCTTCCTCGCCGTGTGCTCACATGGCAGAGAGAGACATAGAGGTGCTCGGTGTCTCCCGAGGTAATCAGGGTTCCACGGTTATTGTCTCAGTCTGCGTCCGCTCCCTACTGGAGTGATCTCCTATGGAGTTCCATTGGTGAGTGAGGGACTTAATGGAAGAGTTCTGAGCTCAGAGCACATTGGAAGAAAAGCAAACAAGATGTGTTCTAAAAGAATTTGCATGTTACAGTCATCGCCCATAAATTAGCAGCAACACCATGGGCCAACAGAGAGCAATGGTTATATTGCATTTTGTATCTGTTGGATTTATATTTTAGGTCCTCTAAGATGATAAAAACTACTATAGTGTATTTCGTGAAGTTGGGCCTATTTTTTTCTCTCTCTTCACTTCACAACAATGAGCTCTTGATAAGGTCACATTCCCCTGCCTTTCAAGATTCTTAAATTGAAACCTAATCCCCAGGATGATGGTGTTAGAGGGTGACTTTGGACAGGTTATGCATTACATAAAAAACAAAAAACTCGCAGAGGTAGCTTTCCCCCTCTATGTAAGCATATAGTTAGAAAATGCTCTCAGGGCCACTAGGATAGCTCAGTGAACTAAAGAGCCTGTTTAGGCAAGCTTAGGCAAACACAGGGACCACGGTTCAATTGCTGGCACCATGTGCCTTTCCAGCCCTGCCCCTGGGGTGGGCTGAGCTGGCCAGAGTCCAGGCATAGTGGCACATGACTGTAATTCCAGCACTGAGGAGGTTGAAAGCAGGAGGATCACCATGAGTCCAAGTTGTGTAGTGAAACCCTGCAACAACCAAAACATGAAAGAGAGAAACAAGAAAAAAAAAAAAGAAAGAGAGAGAGAGAGAAAAGAAAAGAAAAAAATGCTCTCTATGGGGAACATGTCCTCCCTGTAGACCAGTAGTGACTTGATGTGAACTTCCTAGACTTCAAAATTGTGAGCAACACCTTTCTGTTTCCAAAGCGAACTATCTGGAAATTTGGTAACAACAACTGTCCGAAAGAGCTGTGCTTCCCCACTATACATTGAGAAATGGTTTCAATTACTGGTTTGGGGAAATTCCCCCTTTTATGGGTGAACTGTGCAAAACTTAAATAGAAGTGGCCATGGTACATTCAACCTTGGTGGGGTATAAGAGAGAGGACTCACAAGAATGACTTTTATTCCTTTTGATTGCATTCTGTTTTCTTCTCCAAAACTCAGGTCACGGTGACAGATGGTGGCTCTTCTCCAAAACAATCAACCATCTGGGTAGTGGTTCAGGTTCTGGATGAAAATGACAACAAGCCCCAGTTCCCTGAGAAGGTCTACCAGATCAAGCTCCCAGAACGTGATCGAAAGAAGAGGGGAGAACCTATTTACAGGGCTTTTGCATTTGACAGAGATGAGGGCCCCAACGCAGAAATCTCCTACAACATCGTTGATGGGAATGATGATGGAAAATTCTTTATTGACCCTAAAACTGGCATGGTTTCTTCCAGAAAGCAATTTACAGCAGGAAGTTACGACATCCTAACGGTAAGATCCTCTGAATACAGCGACATTGATGGAGGATACTTTCTTATGTGTGTTTATTTCTTTCAGTAGTACATGCTTAGAGTAAAAATATAGCCATGTAGCTGTGAAAAACTTTGGGAGTTTTTTCATAGGGAAGTACAGATGACAACTCGTGCCCGTTTTGGAGATGTTCCTAAATAATGAGTTTCTTTTCGTCACTTTGTACCAGCAAAGCTTCCCCATGCCCACAGACTGCTGGAGCCTGTATATTTACCTTCACTTCCTAAAACCCGAAGTTATGCCCGCGGCACTCAACATAGATCTAAACCTGAGAGCAAGGGTGCCGGCATAGGGACACATCTGCCTGCCACTTCAGGCATCCTGCAGCATGCCCCCAAACTTTCCAGAGAAAGCAAACTTTGTAATTGTTGACAATGTGATAGAAACATGAATTTAGCTATGTAACTTGTAAGACACAAATCACAACAGTGCTTATTTTGTAAGAAGAATTTAAGAAACGCAAATTGACAGTGACTACAGTTTTCATTTAGTTAAAAAATTAAACATAAATATGAATACCAGGTCAACTAGTAAACTCCCGTCTTTAATGTTGCCACTACAACCACTTTAGCCATAAAGTGCTATCCTTGTGGTATACGTGACAGGATGTCCTTATGTACGATAGAACTTTGCAGGGTCTCAACAACTGTCAAGAGTTGGTAGCATCTACCATGCCTGTCTCTGTCCTCACCCTTCTCTGCTGTATATAATCAGTCCTCTATTAGGTGAAAGGACAGTCTGAGTCCTTTGAGGTATACTTTAATTCCTGTATTATGTTCTTTTCTCTGCTCAGGACCATGTCCAGAACATTATGACAGAGACAAGATGTTCAGGCATACACCTAACTGAGAGCTTAATACAGAAGTCTAATGCTCATTGCCTCAGAGTTTGTATCACAGAATTCTATCAGAGCTCCAGCAAATCATGATTCCAAGCTCCCCGTCTCTTCCGAGTCAGCTAGGGCCACATCCTTGCTTGGCAATTACCTGCACCCATTCTGATCTTGTTTCCCTCCTTCCACACCAAGTTGTATTCAAATTCTAGTCCCAGCCCTAGGGATCCTGACTCAAAAAATGTACCTGTTAGGACTTTACCCCATGGACATTCTGGGGCAGAAACATCATCTATGAACCGAGAGCATGAGGCTGCTGAGTTGTTGCTCCTTTCAAAGGCTATCACTGTTAGTTCTGCACCTCTAAATTTTGCTTTGCAAATATAATATTTTAAAATTTAATATTTATTCTTAGTTTTATGTCAGTGTTTTGTGTTCCTTGAACTTTCTGATCCTTCCATTGGAGACCCGGATGTCATAGCAGCTCACCATAGCTCAGCGAGGAGATCCTCAGATGCCGTAGGTTACCATAGCTGATTTGCCCCCCTCAGTCATTCTAGCAGCCACCTCTGGACCACTGGAGAAGTCATTCTTGTCATGCCCCGCACCACCACACTGCCTCCAGGAACCGAGGCTGCTGCCAAGAGAGCTCTTCTTCACCCCCTCATACCCGGTGTGACTGGAGAGCCTTAGCAGCAGTTGGCCTGAAGCCCTGTCTTCCCCATGCGTATAGCCCTCACATTTCAGGGCACTGTGTAAGTGGGGTGT